TATATAGCTAGTGTCGTATGTATATATGCATAACATCACAGCAAAAAGTGGGTTTCGTTACAATGATATTGTGCTCGTTCGCCACATGCCATCGGCCGCTGCATGTAAATAGGACTAGTGAAGGGCTCTTGCACGTAAACTACTAGTACTTGGCAGAATTGCTCCTGTAACTCTTTTACTAGTACGGCACTAGCGGAGGCGATTACTGCCTGAACCAGAACGAGCCAATAATCATCGTTTGTCCCTAATTGAAAAAATCGAATGGAGGTACCATTGTAGATATAAATCTGGTCGTCATATTATCGCAGCCCAACCAGCGGGAGCATCCTTAATTACTAGTACTATTATGGAAAAGACAACTTTAAATGTTCGATTTACCGATAAACACCACATCTATGCGAGGGGTGAATGAAACAGCTTAGTCATGCCAGAAATAGCTTCCGAGGAGAATTCGAGAACCGAACCCACTGGCTGGCAGCACCCGCGGAGGTAAGTATCGAATCGAAAGATCGCCTATCGCGGCCAAACGATCGTATTGATATATACTTTTCATCTAGCGACAGTTAACCAGCCATCCACAATAGTAGTACTTCCACGCAATCAGAGCTATACAAAGACATCTCTACTTAAAAGCGCAAAATGGCCGTACAGATAGTTATGCTATGTTGGACGCGTTCGGCCGCACCAATTGGACGTATATCATCAATCGCATCTGCTTAAAAAAGGCTTCGAAAAAGTCGTGCGTTTCCTACCTCAGCCCTATCGTTATAGGCGAACTGATCAAATGTGACTGTCGGCATCACGATTATACCACAGCAGGCATCAGAAAACGCATCACTGGCACAGGACATAGATAATGATTGCCTTTATCTTACTATAAAACATGGTTAATAAACAGAAAAAACATTCTTCTTTTCATCGCTACAGGTTCCTGCTAGTGTAGTGATGATGATGACGACGACCCACCCTCTCATAACTCTTTCGATTACCGTCAAATAAATAACTGCATCGTCTTTAGATCGAATTCTAATTTTTTCTATAGAGCAATACGTCCGATACTGTCGATAAGTATCGCTGCACACGGAATGTTTTCTATTATCTTACGGAACCCAAGGACTATATTATCAGTGGTGATCATCAGTAAATTTAGGCCCTGAAGTCAATTCCTTTATATGATTTTCTAACTTTAACAGGAGGGAAGTTATTATAACTTCCCTCTTGTGCATGGCTATCAGTTGCAACATTCGGATATTATCCTAATCGTTCGATGATACAGTCACTTTTGATTTGCCTCTGAAAGAACGAAAAAAAAACAAAAAAAGATTATTGAGCGTAATTTTGGTGAATCTTTTTGAAGGTTTGCAAAGGAAAATCATTTCTAATGCGCCAGTCTGACATGGCGAGAGCCTCAGCCTGTTGCAAATAACTAATATCTTCGATATGCCCTTCTATTTTCACATGTATCAAGCTATCGTTAACGGGTCGCTAAACTTGCCCTTATCCCCTGGTTGCTTACTTTCGAGCCCCGACGAAATGCTCAAGTTTATAGAAGGAAAGTTTTTATACAACTTGAGACTATTCCAATATTTTGCTAGATGATTTAGAGTTTTGATGGAATCAAAACGAACAATCAATCATGACAGCACTTTTGTATTTCTCCTATATGATTTGAAGAGGGATTATAGGGATAATCTAGAATACAAATTGAAAAAGGTCGAATCAGAACACGATCCGGTCTTGCTGTTTACTCCATATTCTCAAATATACTTCTAGTTCTATTTCAACTAGAATAGATCTCATGCTTATACACTGTATGTGGAATGTTCAAAATTCGACGTCTGCAGCCCCTGCTTCTTTCTTATCAGGCTCCGCTCTCCGATCAACTCACTGGGCTGCAGCAACCACCTATGTACGAATGCTTCCGATTACAAGTGTTATCAGATAATACATGAATAATAAATAAAAAAAAAAAAAAAAAAAAAAGTAACTTTATGAATGAATACGTTTCTTAAGCAAAAACACCTTCGATTTCATCGACCGATTAGCGTAGAGTTTCACTTTCTAAAGAGAAGCTGTTGTTTTACGCATTTTTCTGCTTGATGTCTATCCAAATGTACGCAGGAATCGCCTTCATGCAGACATGCCCTTGCTGAGAAGACAACGATAGCCTGGCTTTCTATGAGACCACTTTAAAAGCATGCTTTTCACACTGAGCTGGCGATTGATAATTTTACGCCGCGCCACCAGCACCATACTGATTCAGCATAATTAACTTGTTGCTTTTGTCTCGTTCGTGAATTGTCGTCCTTCATTAGAAGCATTACTTGTCTTGGCCGCTAATCAAATTAGCCCCTCATATAGCGCTAAAATGAGAACACTATTTACCTTCCGCAATGGTCTACCTGTATGGCCTGTGGTGACCTAGATCCTAAAGGGTTCAGTCGGAATCGCGATACCGATACGTAATTACCATTTCGGGTGTTACGGTGATTTAGATGGCCACTCACTGTGTTCTCAGGCCTATCCATGCCCGTATCTAGGACGACCTGACGAAAGCGTTCCTACCCTTTTGGCGGTCCTTGTTCAAACTGTAGACTTGCTACTGTCTCGGCTAGGGCGCTGTTGGGTCGGCATTGTGACTGCCCTACGATGCGGTGTTAGTGCATTGATTGTTGGCCACGAACCCAGCAGACACACTCTTGAACGAGTTCGCAGTTATTTGCTCTTATTATATACGACGTTCGTTTTGTATGGCAATATGCGACAGCCTTTCCTATAATCACTGTGTGACTGTGATCGTGAAAGCGATGGTTGGCTTGAAAGAGTTGGAGTTCGAAACAGAGTGAACTTACTAGGACTGTAGCTAGTGATATCTTCGAAGTTTATTTATGTATCGCGGCAATGTCTTTGGAATTCGTTGGTGTTTCTCGTCGACAAATCAGTAATAATAGCGTATTTGTATTGACCGAAACGATCGATGCACAAAATGTGACGCTCGAAGAACTTTACCAGTCTGTCCTGGTATGGTAAGCCTTATGAAATCAGGCCAATATTAATGATCCGCCATCGTAGCCATGTATCGTGCTGTGTAATCCTGATTTGCCTGAGTTCAAAATGTATAATTGGAGTAGTACAGCTTGGCAACAATGGTTGATTTAATGAATTCTTTTTATTTTCTCTATGAAGATGAACGCTTCAGCTAACAGGCTTTGGGTAATGTTATTAAAGGGAAAAGAGGAGCTCATAGCCATTTATTACGGATACGACTGAAACTTGTTGCCTATTAGAACTCTGTTAGAAAAGGTAGATATGACAAAAACAAGTGAAAATTTGAGTTTTTTAAAAATGCTCTTTTTTTTTTTCCTGATTTAATTGTGCTTTGGATGAATCAAACCAATTTAGTTTTGCACTGACAAATATGCTCCGTATGATTCATCGATTCCTTTCAGCGGTAATTATTTCACTTACTATTAGAGTGAGTCGGAATGTAAGTTCGCTAAACGAACGATCTGTGTAAGGAGCACGGAGGGATACGTGTGGATTATCGTTTACCGTCAGTCGATTTATAGAGTTTGGTTAGGATCGTTATTAATTATATTGGCGCATATAGCCTGCTTATAGTAAATAGAATTATCGATGAATCCATGCCTCTTCAAGCCGAGTTGATGCTCGGAACACCACACTGCTGCCTATAGCACGGCCTAAAAAAAAAAATACAATATATTGGTAGAAACGACGATTTTGCAATTCACCGACAACAATCAATTCCTATAGGACCCGACAGGCCACGTCAAGCCAGTGTCGTAATAAGTAGCTCTAAAATAAAGAAAGTAATCAGACTTACGATCAATTGTTTTTAGTTAACGAGCGATATAGGATTAGGAATTGCTAAGCTTTACATTACTAAAATTCAACTTTATATGAATTATTTTTATCGTCACGTATGTATGCACGCGGTTTACGAAATCACTTAAAAACGTCAACCTGTCTAGAAGTTATATGCTATTATATAGCAAAATTTTTTGAGTTTTACCGCCAAATTGGAAGCTACATTCAGTTACCAAGCCACAATATGGTTGTTCCTCCTGCACAAATAGATCCATGTGTTGCCCCTTAGCGATAAAGCTTCCAACAACTAAAATTGTGCCGATTTTCCTAAACAGACAAACATCGCAAAGGAACTAAATAAGCGTATCTTGCATTCAACTAACACAACGACCAACCAGTGTTCTTCATGAGAGGTATTCTGCTGACGTAACGGTGCAAAAATACTACTGTTTATTTTAATCCCTTTGTACAAAATCTAGCTGGTTGCCTAGAAATAACAATGGAGGAAGGCCGTAGACACCATAATGTAATATTGAGTCATTACGTTGTGCGACCTCTGGAAAAGCTCCTAGGCAATATATGCCTTTACTTTAGATGGTTCAAATACGGCACAGATTTCACGTCGCCGAAGATGAATCTTAGAAAGTAGAAGAACATGTCTCTGGTTTATGGGACTTCCCGTTCAAAGTTGGCGCAAATCGGTGGGGAAGTTGTTTGGGTCGCTGTTTTGCGCGTACATCTACCTAGTGCATACAGCCTAGGAGGATGGGCGATAAAAATTTAGCATAAACATTGAATTCAACATAATGATAAAACGCTTTGCTGCTAACAAGCAGAAACGAAGATACTTTTTCGAATGAGCGCGCATCTGCTTTCGGCAAGTTCGCATTGGCTATAGACTTTTTCATCATTGTCTATGCTGGTTATAGGTGTGACGACTTACACCATCGGAAAGAAGAGGTAATTCTAGCAGTGACTGGTCTTGGTTGACCCCGAATATATTTCGCTACATCAAAAACATTTTGTTATCGTATGTTTAGAGAGTACACGGACTGAGTTTGTTGGCAGATTTAAACGAAGCAGCTATCTTTCCTCCTAAGTGAATGCCGCATAAATATTTCCTATTTTTGAAATTGTTTGGACAGAGGATGCCAACGAATTCCATTGTTAAATAAATAGCTTTGATTGATTCCTGTTAAGCCTTCTACTTTGGTGGGAAAGAGAAAGTCGCATTGTCGGTGACTCCCTCGAAAGAATCCAACGTTCAATGTAGAAACGGGCATCAATTATTGTGTCACTTTGTGATAGATGCTTTCGTTGACGATACGATTTTCGTAGGTGTCTTTGCCTGTCGCGTCCTAACTCTGCTGTAATGTGAATGTGTAATGAGGTCTTCGAAGTCAGTAAAAGGTTGGACTCGTTTACTATTTTCTCCGACCTCGAGACATCATAAACGAAATGCGAAACTCAACTTTCTATTGCCATTGATCACTTACAGTGTAAACTTGTCTATATATAAGACTATTTGTCACAGAGATTCACTTATTGATTTATGCTTGCGCTTATAATCGCCTAGATACTTTTTGTAAAAATCTGGAAAAAAATTACCTAAAAGTATTTATTTCATATATTGAGTGTTCGAAATTTTTTGCCAGGTAGCGTCGTTGATGCTGTGGTTCTGTTTATCCTACCAGTTAGTTCAAATCGGATGTGTCTAGATGCGGTGAAAACCTAGGTTACCTACTCTGTAGGTAAGTATAGATGATACTTCATGAGAGTTTTGTATGGCTAAATTCTTTTGGCCGTATTTTGATAACATCTGTTTAGAAATGCACACAGAACTGGATTGCTGTTTGTATTATACAGCCCACTTAGCATTCGTTCGAACAATCATCATAGGTCACCAACTAACAGATACTGTTGCTCAGATGCCCATTCGGTAAAGACGGTTCTTGCCACCTGACCGAGTTCATCCTGCTCGTCTAGTTCCAGCGTGTTTTCAATTGATATTGGTCATCGAGAACAATCATTTGGATTTGGTTGCCCGCCCAACCTTTCGCCTACTGAAGTCATCATCACTTCGTGGCCAGCGGACTTAATATGGCGCGAGCAAGCAGACCAAGACCATTTTTGATCGTTTCACATGCTTGAGTGTCTGGATGGAACCAGGATCGACAAACGTCGTGAAACAGACCTGCTCAGATTCGATTGATTGCCAAAGACAGTCGGCAGTTTGTTTGGATGCTACTTGTCATGCGGAGGGGGATGCAACGCACGCCAATTCGATTCGTTCCTTTAGCTTCTAGATAATTGTCTCCGTTAACACTCACTAGAGGATCTGTGTGATAGGCAAAAATGCACTGCGGGGATCTACCGCACAGGTCAGAGCTGAATAGAGTTTGTCTCTGTTCGCTGAAATGGAAGTAAATACGGAGACAGACATTAGCGTTAGCCTGTGTATTCAGTCAACTGTGTATCGCTTTGTTTGCGCATTGTGTGGTGGCAGAAGGCCACCAAGCACTGCCAAACGTCGTGTCTCCTGATCAGAGGCGGTTGTGCGACAAATACACCCTCCAGCCAGTCGGGCCGTCGGGTACGCTGCGACTATGGCGGATCGTTGGATGGATAGGCCAAACGAGGCTCATTACTGCTCACTAAAAGTCGTTGGCTTTTTCTAGCGGCTTTCAATGTAGAGCAACAGCAGGAGCTGCCGGCCCTCACTATCACCGCTGTCCAGCTGGAGCTGTTAAAGGGTCAAGTGTTTGCTGCTTATGGGTGTCATGTAAGCAAAGCCTTTGGCCATGTATTGATAGAACACGACAAGCAAGATACCGTCGTCGCTAATTTACGCGAGTGAATAGGCTACAGGCAAAAAAGTACCTCGTGATGATAGACCCGACGAATTGATCGGCTAGCTAGCTTTACAATTACCGTAGAATACTCAGTTGAAAAAAAGGGTAGCAGACATTGAGCGTTCCCGAATGTTACAGAAAAATACGTTGCTTCTGTGTATGGACACGACCGTTAATAGTCGTACGATTGAGATTAAACAAATAAAAGGGAAAGTATCAAGGGAAAGTTTGCAAGCAGGATAAAGTTGACTTAGAGCCAAATAACAAAACATTAGTTTTATCATTTTTTTTTCCGAAAGAAAAAAAGAAACATGTTAGGCATGGTTAGCGAGTAAATGGTTTTGAAAATGGTCGGCTTCTTGACAGCGATCACCCAAAATGGTGGCAAATAACAACTGTTATTTGCGCGCAGGCGTCTAGCTGAAATGTCAATAGGACAAAGAGTTAACCAGAGTCAAACGTCCCGCGCGCTCCCAGTTAGACAACAATCCGAATGATCCTGGCAAAGGCACGACCTAAGGATTTTTCCTTGGCCTAGCAGCACTACGTGATATGTACGTGTTTCGATTGGCAGCGTGACAGATTTAGACATTTTACTGGCGTGGTCCAGGAAAGATTATATCCTTGCGAGTGGATGCTATACTATTTGGATTAGCGTCTGACGAAACATGCAAAGCCTTTCGAGGCTTTAAAGACCATCGAGCTTCTATGCCCGATTTCGAATCGATAAAGATTTCATTATATCTGGGTTACTCACTTGTTTGCATTTTATAGGCTTTTTTTTTAGCCAAGAAAAACAAGTGGTTTAGAATAGATATGATGGAATGTAAGGAGGCTTCTGACAGACAAATCCTGTCGTATTGTTTTGGCATTCGATATTATAGAGGAGCTATTGTTATTACCGTTTTCTGTTGTAATTTTTCTAATGCGATTATAATAGTTCAGGTTCGAAACCGGACGTAGACACGCTTTGTTTCGTATTGGAATCAGCCATCTGGAACAATGCCTAACAGTAGTACTGAACACACAATTATAAACATTCATGTATTAACAATGTGAGGTATATACGAGCGTGCATTTATACAATTATCCATATATATATATATACACATATGGATAATTGTATAATATAATATATTAAGTGAGTGTCATTGTTAACAGTCTTTTGCCTTGTCCTGTACAACGTTTTTCCTATGTTCATAACGCATGCTAGCCACATTACATAGTTTACTATTATTCAGCTATGAAGAGAGTTGAAAATGAGAGACAAAGAACAAAAGCAAAAAAACAAGCTTGAACATACGTTGGAAAAAATAATTCATCGAAGTAGTTGAACCTCGAGCATGAGATTGCAGACAGGCTGTACCGCTACGCTATTAAAATGAGCACCCCACGTAATACGTTGTTCTCCACGTAACAAGTTACAGAGCTGACTACACAAATCAATGAATAGGATAAAATCACCATAGTTCCAACGCAGCGTGTTATTCCATTTATGATAAGCGTTGATCAGAGCCACCGAAATGCGGTTTGTGTTAGAGAAAATCTCTATTTTACGAAACGTTGCAGCCAGCAGGTGATCTATATGAAACACTGGCGTGGTAGCAAAAAAAAAGGACCCGCTATGGAGAGCTTGAGTGTAGTTCTCATCATTGTTTTGGGCATCTCCATCGGAGTAGTCGGTAAGTTCTATCACTTACTTCCTATTACTGCAGTATAACGTTTATGAACTTCTAATGACTCCTTAAGTATATTTTCTGTTCTTAATTTCGCTGCTGGATAATTAGTATCGCAATTATCTAAGTATTTTAGCCACACTTCTTACATTAAGGCCTGTATATATTCGATAATTACTGTATGATAACGCGAGCCAATATTTAGTTAGGGTGGCTGTCCAGCGTATTGGCTAAAATGATTTTCCTAATTGCTATTACGACTAGCCTCTTAATATAGTATCACCGCGTAACATATTTGGGGTTCGATCGGTAGTAGGTTCCTCAGATCTTTGCAAATAAACATATACGTATTACACACACGTTATTCTTTTATTCATTTTCTAAATGTTTCCTTAATTTTTTTAATATTCGAAATTTTGTTGACTTGGTCTAGGTGTACTGATAGTGGTTGTGTTTGTTTGGCTACAGCGAAAGCACACCTTAACTATTCCTGGAAGTCCTACATTGAGTCCAATCGCTTTCAGCACAGCATCATCCAATAGATCAGTTATAGGACGTTGGGCCAGTGGTGGAGTTGACAGCCCAGAAGGTACTACGCATAATGTTGGGTATATATATTTCATTAACGATTCATTTGGCTGTAGCTCCATGCCGAGTGAATGGGGCATCAGAAACATCTGAATAGATTCATGGACTTACTTCTTACCCCCCTCCCCCCCTCGACAGCTTAATCTTCTGGATTTTGTTAGCAGCGCGCCTACTGTTCAAAGCTACCCTTTAACGTTAGAATGAATTCGGGAGACTTATTTCTTCGCTATAGCGAAGAAAGAGCTCACGAAGCTAAATTTCTCCTAACTAAACATCGTTAAGAAGTTCTAACTCTTTGTCGACAGGCGGTGAACGCGATAATCGAACGTTTGATCGAGAAGCTCTTCAACTGGCTACCACAAAGGCTTTACCGGCAGAGCCTCCGAACAAGGTAGGCGAAGGCCCAGATAATACCAGCAGACATGCCCCTGACTCCGTGCAGATGCTGAATACATATGCACGGAAAAACCTGCCTTGTCTGCCAAGTAGCGGCAATGGACTGAACGACGATCTAAACATTTATAGTAAAGTACATCATGAACCCCTGCCAAATCAAGCTGGTCACAGCGAACACGCCCCGGTTCGACAAGGTTATCAATATGATAATATTAGTCAACTGCAAAATCATGGCTATGTCAGACCTGCAGACGTATATCCGCGCATGTCGGTAATAGTTTTACCCAGCGCTGACGCAACGCGAGCAGCAGACAGGAACTATACGGCGTCCGTTACCTATCGCGATGCAGTACAGGCTACGAGTTTCAAGTATGGTACGTACGAGTCTATTATTAGCAGTCATGATAAATAAGCTCATGCTTTCTGACACTTAGCGCATTTAAATGTTACAAATGCCGTCATATCATCATTTCTAAACCTTTTTCACCTTTTATGTCATTAATAATAGTTGTAAGAACAGGTTTTAAAAGCATTTAATTACGTGGCATTGTATTGAACGGTGCGGAACAAGAAACGAGTAGTATCTATGAAACAGTACGAGTATCGCCAACGACATGATCCCGTTTAAGATCTTGCTGTGCGATCCTCGTGTAAGCTAAACCTCTCAGCAAATACGCTAAATACTTACTTATATGTAGCTGATATTTTCTGCCTTACGCTTCCTTCACCTAACTGAGACTATCGTATATAACTGTCATTCATTGAGCACTTCAAATTTCCTACTGGTTTCTGTGTATCCTTATGGTATAATCACTATTAGATGTTATCCACGGACCCGTTTATTGCGTCGCCGATTTGTTGTATATTACGGGACTGGCATTGCTTGGCTTAGGATGGTTCACCAGAATTTGTGCCGGTGCAGACGATCTAGAATAGCCAGCAAGCAGGACTAGGATGGTTCGCCTTGCCGACATCCAGGCAGCGATATTTAGGGATGGCTAAGTGAAACATATTGTCAAACATATTCGTCACACGAAAAATTGTTTGTATTGTGCCGTATTTTTATGCAGCCACTCCCGTCAAGGTAACGGTCCTTGAGGTTGACACATTGCTCGCCAAGGACTCCATGCGACAATATCAGGTTGAAGGGGATATAAGTGTGGCTTCACTCAGCTCGATTGAGACACGTAAATATCACAGCATGCGTATTCCAGTATTTATTTGCGCAAACATGAATGCAACCTCAGACTACATTATAAAATACGTGTTATAATTGTCATGATATTGCTATATCAGTTCTACCATGCTAAAAAGGTTTCAACGCGTTTTTGCCCTGACGAAAGTGACAGCACTAGGAAAAAGCAAAGAAGTTTCTAAACATATAATTATGCTAATTTCTGCTGGCATCCATGGATTTCAGAAGAATCAGACGTTTCATTAGTCGTGGACATAAAGGATACTTCGCGGCCAACCATTGGGCCCCCTAGAGATCGGAGTTCTGAGGCTGCAATGTTCATCTGAGAAGTAGTTGCAGCTTCTCTAACAAAGTATTTTCCAATCCCTAACACGACCATATCAAATAATACCGGAAAAATAAGCGCACTACAAGTGGCTCAATTTGAGACCAATCTATCCGCGATAATGGACACATAATATTAGGCAACCAACTAGCATGTGTCGCTTCCGCCACTGTGGGTAGTAAACATCGCCAATTACCGATAAGTAACTTTTAGGGTCGAAACCCAATGAAAAGTAAGATATTTCTGTATGCAGCCTCTGCTCAGGCGCACCGGGACGCATCAACTGCCGAATGGCTTTGGCTGTACGACTGGGCTTAACGGATTCGAAAAAACGAGGCCTAAATCTAGGCTGCTAGAAGCCGACAAGAAAGTAACAACTGTGTATGAAGAAGCATTGCATACGTAATACTAACTTATAACAAAAAAATTATATATTTTTAAATATTCTAGTACACGCCTACGGCTTTGTACATATGTTTGGTGATTGGTTAAATGTGTTGATCTGAATCTAAATATAAATGATCATTTCATAGATAAAGCTGTGATGTTCATTCAGTCTGTTCGATGCTCCCTTTTTTCTTTTATAACGAAATGTATAGAAGTTTCTTTTGCAGAAAACATTGTTATTAATCTGACACGTTTGAATTGCCAGTTGACGAGTACCCTTTTGTTTTGATGAATTGTTTAGCATCTGTTAACCGAAATTACCTTACAGAAAACTTCCAAAAAAAGGACTCAATTCAAGGCGAGTGTACAATAAAGTACGAAAAGAATTCATTTAATGTTTGTTAGTGGTGTTGACTACCCCGTAACAGCGTCTACCAAACTATAGTCTGGTCCGCCAAAGTTTCTGCCGGCTAACTTCTAATTAAAGAGGTAACTAACGAATTTTAATTATTGATAACTTTTACTTATTTTAGTTTTTATTTACTTACTTATTAGTTATGACGATAAAGTTGGAAGCTTGCTTGAAAGTGTTTTAGGTAACATGTACATAGAGGGAAACTCATCTGCTTTTTTTTCTCGATGTTGTCGATTAGTATAAGTAGTAGCGTCATTCGTATGACTTATACTGGTCTGGATATATAATAATATATTCAATATCTGTATCAATTTATTCAATTTTATTTATTAATTCAATGTATTCAATATCTGGTATAATATATTCAATATCAGAATTATCGTTAATCACGTTTTACCTTTGTAAAAAAGCAGCAGATCAACAATTGTTGTTAATTTTACAACTCAATTTCACTATATACTTAAGTTTCTCATAAGTTATATTGCGTAGACAAGCTTACGTCCATAGCATATAGCTGTTCACTAAACCTTGAAGTAAATAGAAATCCCTTTGCAAAAACCTTTCAAATGCAGGTTTCTATATTTTTCACTAAGTTACTAATGGGATCTGAGGTTTTCTTCGATTTTTCTGCAGGACAGGTTTTAGCTATGTTGCAGTAAAAGGACTATGATGTGTTGACGTCATCCTAAAATGTGTACTACTTTATTATAACTATTCTGTTTATTATAACTAAAAAAAAACGTGTTCATTAGACCCTGCAGAGCGGTTATTGGCTGTTAGATGTTATTAGTTCTGTTTTGTTCTTCTATCTTTTTTTATAGTTAAGTTGGATTGGTAGGTTTATATGATACAGAAAAGTTTATCAGTTCATGTTCTCTAATCGTTCATCAAAATATGGATACGTACATTATGCTATAAAGAATTAGATGCCTATCACAATGATACAGAACAGAATACAGCAGAGTCGTTATTGGACCAAGAGTTATTGAGTCACATAGTATTTTGTTGCAGGCTGTCTGCAAACTGCATAAAACACGGTAGAAAATTTACTTCGAGAGACTATAAGCCGCCTATGTATGTATGTACATATGTATATATTGGAAATCACTGCTGTACTCGAAAAACAGAACGCTACAAGCATAAACTCCTAGTTGGGATAATCCTACAGATCAGTAATATTCCTACTGAACAGATATATCCTGTTCCCATTTAAAGTTAAGGCGTTGTACCAAGAAACGGGTTTTATTGCTCTTCCAGTCCGACTTTAGTGTACATAATCGAAATTCGCAGGGCTAAAAAATGAACGGGTATCTCAGCGCACACGTTCGTTCTGCTTAGCGGACGAATCAAAGCGAATGGAGAAAAGAAACTAGTATAACGTATCCCTCGAACTGGTCTCGCCGCCGTCTGTTTTAAGAATGCTATTTTCTGAACGCTGCAACGCACCGACGCTAATCTCATCTGGAGACTCCGCGTGGGTAGATTTGGACATGGTGGCGCTAGCCGTTCGCCATTTTGCTCTACTGTCGTATCTCGTTTGCTGATCACGGCTTCGCGACGCTGTAGGTGATTCGTGAATGAATCACGGAACAGTAGCAGACAACCAATCAATGCCGTCGTCCGATCGCTTGTGGACAGCGCTAAATAAAGAAGTATACGTCTTCATGAAGTAGTGCTTCAGCGACTCCCTTTATTTGGATGACAGATACCGACAAAGGCTTAATCAGTAACGAACTGTCACCCGTATAGAATGGAGACTGAGCGTGTTGAAACGCGAGACAATTTGAGTTGGTTAGAATGCTTAATAAATGAAAAGGACCGATAGGGCCATTGGGCGCTAAAGGGATTTTAGTCTCTAAAACCTGAAATGTATAGAGAAAGAACTGAATATATATTTTGTAACAAATATGTGTTAGTGTGAAAATTTTAAGTCCGATGACTAAGAACAAGTGGTAGTAATAGGGCAAATAATGGAGAATTTCAACACGTTTGATTTCTGGGAACTTCCCCGCATTTGAGGTTAGAAGCTTTCGTTTGATTTCCCCAAAACGCCAACGGCGTTAGTGAAATACTCCAATAAGCTTCAGTTGTAGAAGTAGTAACTTATCATTCTTGTTGACGTAATCGAACATCTTGGCAGAATTCGAAAGATAATCATCTTCTATCATAACGATGTCAAAGCAAATGCGCCGAAAAGTGGCCGTCTGCAATAGCATACACGGGATATTGCCAAGAAAGGCTGGTACACGTTTTCGAAAATATTATATGCTTTCAGTTTATGAGGTTTGCTTCAATAAGTGGAACTCTCAGTAGCAAACATAGTTAAAATAGTTCTGTAAATGAGACTTTTTGATTTTTTTTATATCAAATTTGCTAGGTCGAAGCGGCCAAGGGGCGGACCTTTCTAAGCCAATGGAATGATCTTCAGTTCCTGTGCTCAAATAGACAGGAGCAGTAATATCGACATGTGTTGAATCGTCTCACTGATTCAGGCCTATTTTGTGGATCTGATCGCTACGATTACCGGTCGTGCTTTTATGTTTTAATTGTGATAGCAACTATTAGCCTAGCTAAAAATACACTATTTTTCTTTTTCATTATGTCAAGGTACGCGAGTGTGTAAAAAAAATGTGTTACATTACCGTCTTGTATGGCTAAAGTTTGTTTCAGCGTTTGCGGGATCGATTGGCGCTTGGCTAATACCGAATGGAGTAGAAAGATCCTAACTTTGTGCAGACAGATACTTCTAGGCTTCTGGTTATATTGACATTTTTAAGCAGTTTTATCTAGACATCGAGCGCCAAACTCGCTGATGATTTGCCGTATGATAATATTTCGTTGTTGAAATACCAACAAAGATGGAATGATTGTCATTAGGCTTAATGGCTCAAAGTTAGTTCAACTTGAAATTGTTAAATCCCAGAATATAGATGATTCTATCTGCCCTGAGTCGGATTTCAAAGCAGCACAGTGTCTCGGAAGGAATTTCATTATGAAACTACCTTTGTAGAGTAAGGCTGTTGTAATGCTGATTCCGTTAGTGTGATTAGTATATTCATCACGGTGAACTTTTTACTAAAGGCTCCTCAGTAAGTTACAAAAAGTGAATCCTTGTTTCTTCCTAGTAGTGAGCAAAATTGTTTTTGAGTTGTTCCATGATCTAACGCTCTCATGCGGATTTGTGTCTCCTATTAGAAGTTTACTCCAAAAATTTAAGTTCTAGTGGTAGGGATCTGCCTTGCACGTCGGCATTAAGTGGGAGACTCGAGCCGAAGATCAACGTCGACGTACCAAGTGATTGACGCGAACAAGCGGCGGTACATATCACTTTTAGAATATTATTTGCACGCTTGGACTCCAACTAGGAACAGAAAAGAACGTCTAGAGGAAGGTCATGACATTGGGCTGGTACTTGGGCTCGGGCTAGACAGGGACGGCAAAAATCACATCTAACTTCTTCGACTCGAGGAGCCTTTTGCATTATTTATACGATGATACCTTTAGGAAAGATACACTGGCGCATAGTAAAGCAAGTCCGTCTGGCCACCAACTAACCGATGTATTACAGCGATAGCGGCTTACTTCATGCGTATTCAATGAAAACTATAAGACAGTCTGGATGCGGCATAAAGCGGGGTGTCCCTTTAGTCATCCGTGAATAACGCCATCTCGTTTAAACAACCATATTATACTTCATCGTACTGGACTATGGCGACTAACTATATCGTGTGTTTTGTGTAGCCAACCAACAGTCAACCGCAAATTGCTTATTATCGTCCACCCAGTTTAATCATAACAAAATTACTTAATAAACACAATAATGGGCTCTCGGGGATCTTCTATCTGGAACCCTGAAACGCTGATCCACTTATTAGTGATACATTGTATTTAATTACTGACAAGCGGAATTGTAATTGATCATCTACGCTACTTATCCCACGCATTTTATAAATTCGGTTCGAGTTTCTGCCGTTATACCCGAGTCCCACGTGGATATACCTTTCTAATTTACATTATCATTGTTTTCGTGATAAGTCAAGTACTAGCTATTCTACTACGTAAAAAATACGCTAGACCATAGTCTAGTTTCAGAGCCAGAACGTAGTAGTCCGGCTTTTTGCTTATTCGATGTAACTAATCGAAGGTTTACCAAATGAAGTACAATAAGGTAGAACTCAACGACGACTTCTCGGCCGTTACAAACGTAAAAGAATCGTTTGTATCGTATAATATGTTTTTCACGTGCATATAGTTGCTTGTTGATTAGGTCTAGAACGTCGAACGCCTTATACTTGAACGTATCTTGCTTTACGTATTACGGTTTTTAGAGTGCAGAAACAAGAGCCTCATAATTTACGAATCTTCAAAGATGGCTGTTCAGGTTTCTCTATTTTTACTTACTAAAGGTCGTGCCACGCAAATAACACTAATCAAGGTAGTACGATGCTCAATGGATAATACGATTCCATTGTAGTAGAGCGAAACGTTGATGAACGCTAACGTGATATTGGCATTATTTCGCGTACGTCTGAAAACAAACGAAAACGGACACAAAACTGTAATAAAGAATGCTTTGGGTAGGCAGACGTAATCTCAATAAGAAAGCTGATCTGTGACGACGTATGAACGAAACGATTTAGCTAGCTAAAAACCAACGTCTTTGCCTAAAATCCAAAGAGTGTCATCGAGCATTCCTGCGAATAAGGTCACAGCGGAACTGGACTATTTTTTTTTTTCTCTATCTCACTATCTTTTTGGATGGTTAAAAATTAATCTTTAATTGAAGTATACCAGAAGCTCTAACGTTTTGGGCCATAAAGCAACGTGCGGTCCTGACCATGAAGCATTAGCCGATCTGATATCCGACAGTTATATTCAATAGTAATTGGAATCACCAACTAAATAAATGTTCGTCATTTGGATTAGGTGCATACATGCTCCATACGGCGTTGGGTATGCTCTGGCATCGATGCTTGAGTCCGGCAGAATGAAACGATCAGGCCAACGTATGATACGTTAGCTCGCCGCAGTAATGATTACCGGTATGAAACAGTCGCTCGTGGCGAGAGGGTACTATAAACAAAGGTCTTAATTTGATATAATACATTGAAGTGTCATGGTTAAAAGTGAGATGCGATTTGAATAGCTGACGTGAGCAGACTGCGACGTCAAGTTTCTCTACATAACGGCAGACGTGCCCGGTAATGGAGGATGTCCTTTGACATTATAGGGTATGAATTTATCAACGAGCGTTTGTCACGACACTGTTTTTCGTTATGTGTTATCATAGCCCATAGCCGACAATGTAAATCCAGCGTATAAATGGGGTACTATGCCAATTTAAGCAGGACTTATCACGAAGTCAGTTTTCCTTCGTCCTGCAACCAAGTATACAGCCATATAATCCTTTGTAACTGAAAAATAAAGTGGAAACTGTTGGTACAGATATGAACCATGGAACCGAAAGTACAATTTCATCGGTTCGATCGTCTCGCGGCGATCCCGCCCTCATAAATGGCCTGCGTTGTGAAAGACGAAGATCGTGTACGCTCGTTGACTTGAATATCTCCATTGAATTTTGGTTCACTCGACGTTTCCTAAACTTAAAAAGACTCATTTTTCCATGTTCGTTACTTCGTAAAACATGTGTTTTGACACTGTAACCGCTATATATCAGGTTCCTACAGTACAAAAGACTCGAGTCATTTGACAACTGTTTGTGACGGATTGTCAATCCGTTACATTCATTGAAAAATTTACCAAAATAGACAAATTAATCTAGTTCTAGTATTAGCACGAAGTATGATTAACGTAAAATTGTAACTTATTAGTCAGCGTTTGGTCTCATGCATGCTATTACTATAGGCTAACTAGATCGAGCAGGTGATCTGAGCACAAAATAACTTTCTCTCGGATTTTAACACTCAATCTGGCCGTCGTTGGCGGGTTTTAGTTACCTACGTATATATATAAAGTTCAAATTCATCAAACGGTGAACTTTGTTTCAGCTCTTCCTATCATAGCGCTGCTATCGATGGTGTTCGACTATACGTAATTATAGACGCATCTGGGTAGCCAAAACATAGTCATGTATGTATTTCGTACTTGCAACAACGAAGAGCACCTGTTTCAAAAGTAAAGCAAAGTAAAATTAACATAATGAAACTAGGTTCGTAACAACAATCTACAAGTTGTCTACTAGGAAAAAGTGAGAACGGAACTACATGAAAACCGTAAGCGAAAGTCTTACTTTGCAGTGATTTCGATTTCTAGATCGACATGGGGCAAATGTACCATCGCTCGGTGATAACAGATTTATAGCTTAGCATAGAATAGATCTTTAGAGCTAACGAACATTTATTGTCCCGGGAAAGAGTTGTATGACAGAGTATGGCTGTCCTGGGAAAAACCGCATCCATAAAAATGCCGCATTTTGACTGACTTTAACGGTTCCTAATTCTAGAATATAAAGCCCAAACTGCTTGAATAAAGACCACGATATCTATATGTTCCACTACCTAATCATACTGGCTCCTGTCCACTTGGAGAACGAGGATTTCCTACGAATCTTGGTATTATGTAGATCACTTTAACGTTACAATCTACGCTAGATATCTTTTAGCGATGGACCTGTGTTCTTGTCGTATGATGATTACTTTATTTTTTGCTCATTTCAGCTAGTAGCCCAGCCCAACTCAACCAGAAGCACGCGTTTAGACCCGTTAGGTTATTTTCCGTCGAAGATTTGAGCATTTGATGAATTTTGAACGTTCGATGTAAAAACGCAAATGTCTGTGACATGTACGTAGTCTATACTGTTCGGTTTCTTTTGAGGAGAGAATGATCGTCGTCTATCGTTACGCAAGCATACGGAGACCCGGCTCCCACCGAAATGTTCTGCAAATCCTTGAAAAATCTACTGAAATTTGGAGAAAGCTTCCCTAGACAATATCAGTTTTCTGCTTCGCTAATCTGTTCGAGGTATTTCACCGTCTCGTAGACAGCATGAGCCGCAAGTCTCTATACAGCTTGAAAAATAGCTCTATGATAAATGTGAAATTTATCATCTTATGATTGTATACGACAGCAAGAATATAGACACCGAGTAATTAAACGAAAACGCAGTAACAACGTTTATAATATCTTTAATTTGAAATTCATTTATATGACAGTATAAGTATTATAATGTCGATTATTAGAATATGTACACAATATAGGCACACGTTTGGAACAAGAAATTCCTTATCACTTGCAATTAGGTTTGTCTGTCATTTTGAAATAAATGTAAATACGCACTTAACAATGATAAGTTATGAAGGAATCAAGCATTGATAAACAATCACAGACTTTCAAATCGAATGTTTCGAAATTGTGAAATGGACCGGACAATCGCGTGGTATTCGTCCATACTTTGCCTTATTTCGAATCGGTAGTGATCAAAATAACAGTGATAATAATAACAATAATAATAATAATAATAATAATAATAATAAGCATAATTATAGTAATAATAATAATAATAATACTTTTAATGATAATTACGTCAGTGGAGATTAACAAATACGGTTACTCTCATTTGTTTACCTGATCATTTCGAGAGTCATTGACTAAATGACTACAGCTGTTAACTATCGTGAAATGAAAGAATGGTGCTCAACAAAACACACGTCCAGTTGTTACTGATCAGTGATTATTATCATCACATATTTTTTTTTTTTGTCAATTCGACATATGTGCAATGATATCAATTAATAGAAATTCCTTGCTATTATAGAACGCGCCGGCCAGCCTTTCCACGCCTGAAAGCATTTTTTCATCGTCACTGGTTTTCGAGTCGTCACACGCTGCATCGACAATCACAGACGAGAGACGCCCTGAGCCAGTTCTCATCCAGATTGAACTACAAACTACAATGTAAAAATCCCTTTGACAGATCTGATACACAACAATTTTACGTGCAATACCGGGGCATGTAAAGCTCACAACTGCCGCATCAACGTGCTTTACAACGGCCACCAACACCACGTAGTCATTTCATTCGGATTAAGCGCGGTACCAGCAACCATTGCGCTGAAAAACTATACAACCGTTAAGTGCCTCCTACCGTACAGCTCATGTGTAGAGCTCCCTAGAAGATATGTTAAAGCAGTTAATAAAAAGTGTATTTAGTTTAGGAAAGTAAAACCCGTCATTTACCGTACAGACGCCTGAAAAGAGAAGCCGAGTAACGAGCTCGAACTCGTAAGCGAACTTCCATGCTTTAATGTACCACTGTCATGGATTCGCAACACTGCCGCTCACCTACTTGGCTTATCTCGTAGACATCTACAGCAAAAAAAAAAAACCTCCAACATGTTGTTACAGTATTTCGCCCGCCATCCTTACACATATTTTTTAATATTTCGATTCACATTATTTCCTACGTGCTCGATAATGTAAAAGGCATATATTGTGCTCCTTAGTGTCGCTTTTTCCGAGGCCAATTTCAGGGCACTCTCGCTTCTAGCGTTCAGTGCTGGCCGACTCCCGAATCTACGGTTTCGCTTTGCGCGCAAACGGGCAGTACTTGATTGTATGGGCATAATCTCCCCCGCCGTTCTTGCAAATCGGGCAGTTGTACTCACGCAACACGGGGCATGTAACCTTACCGTCATCCGATCGTAGACAGTGGCTCTGATAAACCTCAGCTGGATCACCGTTAGATTGGCAGAAACGGCAAAAGCCGAGCTGCGAAGTCGCTACGGGAATGACCCTTGGCCTCAACTCCTCATTGACCTAGAAATCGGAAAGAGAATCCGTCAATGAGCGATTAGTTCAGTAACACATTCTAGCAACCGAATATAACAAACCGATAAGGCATCTGAATAAACCTTGTATTCAAATATAGCTTTCACTTCCATATACAGACTCGTTGGCGAAGTTCAACCACAAAATTGAAAATCTGAATGTCGCAGCCTGAATGTAGCCTGACTCGATGACAGGATGACCATGTCTATTATACTGAAATTTTACCTTGGTTACGTGCTCTTCGTTACAAGCAGTGCAGATGACTCTGATTTTCGGTGAACTGCAACATCCCGACGCTGTGAAAGTAAACGTTTTCGCCGGTCGAGGACGACTTCGGGCTTGCTTTATGGGCCGAGGATTTTTCTGCACCATAGTACTCCACGAAGCCTGGGAAACTGGGTACTGCAGAGAAGCCATTGAGGAGGTAGACGACGATTCCGAAGCTGCATTTTTGGGTCGAGATATAAATATAAACTTTTAACAATTATTATCCTAATAAAGAGACAATCGATATGACAAAGCTTTCTATAAATAGACCTGACACAGGTCATTACATGAAAACATTTCAAGACTCGATCAAGCCAAGAAGCTGAGTCCTACTCCGCCGCAACAAACGATTGTTTTATCACCTGGCAGAGGCATTACCCTATGTCCAATGAGACATATACGCACCGCTTTCAAAAATGTTAGAGTATAATTTTTTTCACAGTACTTACTTTGATGCTTGCTAGGGTTTCTTCCGTTATTTAGATTGTTTCCGTTACTATTACCAGAATTGCTGCTGTTGGTGTCAGAGCTACTAGTAGAAACTCTTTGACCGAGCAGGTGCATTGAGCCAAATTGATTTGCCAGAGTGGACTCTGCGAATTTGAACAGAGAACCATTCTGTATGCTCGTACGAATGTCGTGTAGAGGGTCAGTATTCTGCTTCGGTGACCATACAGAGCTTTGGGCGATAGGAATGCCCGCAGATCCTCCCGTCTTCGACAACGGGATTCCTTCGCCAATGGCCGAACTGTTCTTCTGCCCGGGAGAGTCTAGACAAGATACAAACGATAACATGATTAACCGTTACGTCCGGAGGTGCCATTGGGGAATGACAAATGTCGCCGCGACGCGAAAGCCATATTGTCATTCCCAGGTACATGGCTTGGGCACAGCCAGATGGTCGGAAGACTGTAAAATTCTCTATTTAGGTTTCAATGTTCGTTCGACACAGTTAAAAAAGCTTTTTCTAAACATATTTATTGTTTAAACAACAATGCCCGGCCTATCATAAAGACGAGAACAGATACCCTGAGAGAAATAAGAATCAATAAAAATCCTTAGCTGTGGTTTTGGTTGGTATATAAAAGTACAATGATGATTTGTTGTGAAGATATTAAATTTGCCGGTAACATAGAGGTAACTAACTGAGGCAAATACCATAAGGCCAAATGATGTTTGCAGGGTAAAGTGACCATTCAGAGGGTAAACCTCGCTAAATTCTAGTTACTCAGAGATCTAAAATTCTCAGATCGATAAAAACCCATTCGCCCTATAACGAATTATGCTCTTCTGTTTCAATTCCAGCATCAGTGTTGTTATTCTGTTCCATGTATGTTCCGAACTTCCCAATTGTCAAAGCTTACTGTTCGAAACAAAGCTGAAGGCCGAGCCTATTTGTGTCAGTATTGGGCTTCTTCGACTGGCCGCGGACTGCGTTGGTTCGTTTGCGTTCCATTTGCTCGACGGAAATGAACCCTCCGGTAAATCTGTAATCATTTAATTCCCTGTTTAAATTGACTAGTGAATTCCACTACCGGGAACGCACCGACTCCAAGCTTTACATGTTAATCTTTTGAACTCCAGAATAGCAGAGGTTTGGAGGGGTGCGTCTACGAATACACAAGGATTTCATCCGTATCAGATGTACACATAATTAAAGAAAAATTGTAATTTCCAGAATTAATTCCATGGGAGACTCGTGAAGTGTCTATACCACCAGCTCGATTCGATCGGAGCCAGTATCGTAAGCCTTTCCCACCTGATTGATGGACAGCTTTTTTTTCCAATATTAAACTAAACAGCCATATAGAATCAACGAAGTTTAGACTAGATACGCTACCTTTACATAATGAAATTGGCTATAGAATGGACTTCGTCCTGTGGTGAATGTACATGTCGCAGGTCGGATTTGATATTAATAATGCGAAAAAGCGAGAATACGCGAACGGCGTGGACGCGATCAGTTTTCATTGATCATTGTTAAAAAGCGCATTGGTAAATGTCCGCCACTCAGCGATTGTAGTTAACTTACGGTACCGTCAGTATTAACTGTAGCCTGCCTGGCGAGTCATGCTTGATCATCTCACCGTTTACTGTTATGGTTAGCGCATGTGCGGTCAGCACATGTCGAAGGTTTTGAGGACCACTTCTTTTTTTTATCAAAACGTCGGTTCGGCCCCGTTCAGAAAGATTGCGTCCACGACTACGTCTCATTATAAGGCTTTATTGGCATACACGCTGTGTTGCGACATTTATTACAGTGGTCTTTAGGCGGCCATCGTGAAGCTAACTAACCGACTAGCTAAGGGGAACGCGGTACAGGGTACACACACACAGAGCGAATGTTATCTATACGCTTTCCATGTTTCGAGTTTTACGTCCGGTATCGCCGTTAGGCGTTCCATCAGAGGGCTGGCTCCCAATACGAAACCAAATATGTCTATGCCCGGGCTCGAACCTAGACCACGTGTCCATAGTCAACGTGTCCTTAAGATTTTCTCACCCGCTATATCTCTACCCAGACATGGTTGGCCCTACGCGTGCCTTAGCCCTGCGCCTGTGCGGTCTGCAATTATATTCTAGTACTGCATACAATATTATAAATTACTGTGAAGCGAATGTCGATCAGTTACGTTGATGTTCTGACATTTATATTAGTCACTCGGGTTGGCCATCTCGATCGTTACGTCTGACACACACATTTCTTCAGTTAATGGACACCGTTCACGCCGCAATACCAGTTGTTATTATCCAAGTTTTTAGAAGTGTATACACACAAATATCAGACGCTCTAAACTACTGGTTGGCCGCACGTATCATGTGTTAACCAAAAGGTTAAATGAGTGGAATATGTATCAATTGTCAACTTACCCATGCGCCAATCTACGCCACTGAGAAAGTCCGGACTAGGAACAGTTTCCAACATTGTAATGCACAAATTGTACGCAAATTCAAAGACACGTCCACCTGATAGGTGATATAATATTAAGCAGACAGGATTACACAATTGGTCCGTTAGTTTTCTAGTCGCTTTTTATGGCTGCCGTTTGAGTAGAGTTACGCTAAGGGTAACGAACTTCACCGACGATTGGGTTCATTCGCAGCAAATGTCGTCCACGATGTCTGCACTCGCGCTTTTAATGGGTCGAATGTGTACGCGTTGTCCTATTTAGAAGATGTCATCTGCTATTCACGCAATAGCACGACCATATCTTGGCGCGAGTTTGCGAGGGTACGAAGCCATGCGTTATAACGTGTAGCGTGCACGCTAGTGATCATTCATTTGACTGCTTATTCGATTTGAGTCATCATTACCTGTAAAACTGACAGACGCAATTTCGAGCTTGTTTAGACAATTTGATTGCCTAATTCTCACACGTTCTTTTGTGGTTTCCACAAATCCGAATTTATTATTATTATTGTTAAAAGAGCGCCAAAAAATGACACCGGCCTTTATTCGTCAATTGCATATTCTGCTATATTGCAAATAGATTGCTTTGTTAACAAGCGAGATTAGCCGTTTCGAAGACTGCTCACGTGTGTAAAAATCAATCAATAAAAATACTAGCAATAACCTTCGATAATCAAAATAGCCTTAAAGCAACTATTATTGTACTGAAGTGAGTTATCCACCCAAGATGAATAAAATTTTTCTATCTATTAGTCAAAGAGATTAGCTTCACAGATTGTGACCGACACACCGGTGTGCATCCAATATATGCACATATATACATATACAATATATACACATCCAAAGATGCGAAACCCAAAGGAACATTTTTAGCAAAAAAAAAGGAATGTATAGTTGAGCCAAAGACTGATGCTAATTACAAACATGTTCTTAACTAAACAAGTTCAAGTTTTGCAAAATTTCCGTTACTAGTTTCGGTATCAGGTAGCAACAGTTTATTTTGGATTGTATACACATGTAGCACAGCGGCATAACTTGCTTGCGATAGCAAAGGTTGAAGTGGTGGCTCCTGTCGTACGACAATGGCAGCGCGTAATAGCTGCATAATGGTGAAAAGCCAGCTAACAAAGCCCTCCGATTAAAAAAAAATCGGAATACATGAAGTTATGAAAATCGTTTCGTGCAGCCGGCCGGATTTTGCCTTAACCAACACATTTGATAATTTCCTCATACAATGTGTATTTACTCAAGTTCTAGTAACTAACTGCTCTAATCGTGTATTATTGGAAGAATATTGCATATGATCCAAGTGAAGAAAGGCCTCCGATTAAATATCGAATTTTCCCACCCAGCAAAAGTTGTTTCGACCAATACATCTGACTGTTGGAATGTGTATATGTACACTAATTTACTTGATTAACAAATTTTCAAGTAAAAGTCCTTAGATCAGAACTACACATCCCCTGACTCATTAATTTATGACTCATAAATAGCCATTCCATGCCGGGCTAGCTGCGCTGTGATTCTCATTGGAACATATTTACTGCTTAGTCTGTGCTGCCACAAAAAGACTCAAACGAAGCCAAATCTAATAGCCCGATCCTTTATATAATAATAATTTACCGCGAATTAGCATATTACACAGATACATACAATATCCATTTATACATAAACTTGCCGAACACCTTGTGAATCTTTCTTATTTTGTGATCCACTAAAAAAAGGTTGAGAACCACAAAAATCGATGATATGTTCACTATATAATTCATATTTACGTAGAACGGACGCACTTATAGGTACAACACATTAGACTGTTAATTAACGCTAATCCCCCCAACCAAACCGTATTACTGACTGACGAATACTGACTGATATACAAATTGGAAAAAATAATCATAAGCGACAATATCGAAAAAAAAAAGATATAATATGGTCTCTCATATGTATGAACACACAATATATGGTGTTCAAAAATAAATCGTAGTTTTTCTATTGCGCTACTAATTATCAATGGCGATTCTACCTAGAAGCAATCGCCGCATGCATATGGCCAATGTATCGTGGTAATGAACTTGCTGTGACAATGTCCTTCAATTCAGAGCCTCCTAGCAAATGCAAAATTCAGTCTGTGAAAGCTGCGGTCAAAAAAGCCTTAGCATCTTTCTATTGGTGTCCACTTGACACCCGTATCAATATCGCTCTAGATACTGCTATCCGTTAAAAATTGTTAAATGACACGCCACGCTTATTTTAGTGGTACATATTCCATAAGGTGCAGACGTGGCTTCAGTTTAGTGGGTTTACCTCCGATACTAGTTGTTTGTCGTAGATTTAGCAAGGGCTGCGATTGCGTATGCTGGCTGGCATATCCCCAGAGCATTTGGTCTTTCGGTACTCGATCAGGTACTGGAAGGATTTCGGCCAATTATGGAAGGCGGTGTTACACACCGGGCCCCGCTGCGGCAAGCGATACCAGTTGCGGCCCTAGTTCCTCTTGTTGGAATCGCCAAGTTCCGCTGGTGAGAATAAAGAAGCTGGCAAGTGACAGAATGATCCAGTGAACGGGCATTAAGTAGCGGCTGTGCTAATGTTACCTGTTTCGCTACTCCCAGAAAAGTTGTTGCGGTGAAGACGCGTCATAGCGCAACGAGTAATACAGAATCACGGTTGTTGTCTGCTTGGCTTGCCGCTCGTGATTCTGACAAGTCATAGAGGTGTGAAGGTTCGTCAGAGACGCCGCCCTATAAACTCTCCTTGACCAAAGATGAAATTGGAGAGACTACCTGAACGTGCGATGGCTAAATGGTATGTCACGTTTGTGCAGGCGACCTTGGGCGATCCCAAGATCGCTCGTAAGCGCTCAGATGATTCGAATCATCTGAGCGCTTACGCGAACATATGTGATGTAGTTGTCGAATGATAAAGGCTGTTCAGATCTCTGTAGCCTCCATTGGAGTCATGGCCGTTGTTAAGCAAGCGATTAGTAGAGTTCGGCGTTCTTCCAGGAATCCCTGTATCTATTTGTTTTTGTCGCGTGCAAGTTAGACGAAGCGAAGGATGCACACCAGTTGTTGTTTGTGATATTAACAAAGTAGTGTATTCTGAGTCCCGATAGCTGACGATGTCGTGGTAACTGATTGGTGTAAATAGTGCACCGTGGATTAAATCACCACATGACTTTTTAATCGTTCCTTACATTAATTACATGAACCCTTAGCTGCCTTTAGGGAAAAACGGATTCACGTGAGAAATATATGAATCACTTCAATCGGTGATGATTATCAGCAACGGATAAATATGAATTCGACGGAAGAAGCGCGACATGTGCGTGAACGTATTTATAGTCTGACAATTAGTAACAGATAAGGGCAGTAAGTGAAGACACCTGTCTTCGTTCAGTGCTTCTCAACGCTGATATTTTGCAGTGGATAGTCAGGCCCGTGGCACGATGAAGATTACAAATCGATATCTATTCTTTAAAATTGATTATTAATATCAGTATCATTCATTGCATTGATCATTCGAACGAAATGGTCTTTGGAGTTAAGTGACAAGGAGGAACCTCTCGGTGCATCGGATGTCTAATTATTGCTAACGGTGTAATACATGCGATTGAAAAATACCGCTTCTCAAATAAAGCAGGATAAAGGCTCATCATAAGCTTCAAAAGGACAATTCGTAGTTTATTCTAGTGGCGTAACAGATAGTCAAAGTACACAACATGCTCTGTATGTAAAGGTACTTTTACACTGGCAAAAACTGAAAATATTCCTAGTTCAATTGATCACGTTTTTACAAAAATCCAGATGTTTGGATTAACGATGTAAACCAAGTGAAAATTAATAAAAACGGAAATATATATATATATATTTAAAAGGGGATTCATTCAAAATATTAACACTGCATTCATAGTGTTTTAATGACTTTCACCATTTTGATCCGTTACTCATACTTCTTGAGTGCAATACTTATTTTAAGAAATATTGAACCTATTAGTATATAATTTCAAATGTATTTAAACGGTTTAAACCGACTATTTAGTATTTCGAAAAGTTCCAAAACTACCGATAAATCCAAAAGTTGACCCTTAGATGCGCGCAATTGCTGACAGTTGTTTCTGGCAGTCTCTCAAATATTAGTCATTACGCGTACGTAAAGACATTTCGCATTTGTGAAGTTCTCGCTATTCACTGCATCCTCGTCTGTTAGATTTTTCCGTCAACACTGTCGGAAAATGTTCTCAGCGGGGTCACGTGCTCTAATGGCGGGTTGGCATTATATCGAAAATAAAAAATGTGTTTAACGTATTATTAATGCATGTTAGTTCCACACATAACACCAGGCGCCTTAGCCGATAGCTGAAGTATTATTTACCTAAAACGAACGACTCACCTCTATAGGAGCGTGTGCGGAAGGTTCATAGGTGTGTGTGCCTTAGAAGCTATTTAATACCCAATTCTCTTGCAATTGATTTAAGCATAGAAATACGGTTTTTACTATATTTCTTTTACACATATATAATGATAGAGTAATTTACACATTAATATGGTGAGATCGATTAAACATTGATTTTAGACAAAATGCATTTTTTTGTGAGATTGTCGTTATCCTATTCAGATGTCCCTGCGCCACCGTGGGAATGAAGTTCAAAACGCCTGCCTCGATCATTTATGCCGAAAAGAAATAGCAAATGTCACGGTATTACTAATAAATAAGGTTGATTCAGTTCCAGGTACAGCCTTCAATGTTAGGTTAGATGCTACTGTGAAAGAACGGTACGTTCCATAAGGCTATGGTACATTTCATACTCAATAAGTATGTATACCTACCAAATCGTCAGACAACACAAGTTCTTCAATAAACTGATTTTCTAATAAATTTCGACGTGTTTTCTTCAATCAAGAGATGGTTGATTATTATCTTGCGTTACGAAGCGTACTCAGCTGGTGTATGTCGAGTTTAAAGCCGCTTGATTCAGACGTAGAGTTATGAGAATGAATCATTATGACTTAGGAATGTAACGCTACAATAGCCAGTGTAAAGCTGCTTTCGACAAAAAGAAAATGCACACTTAAAAGTCCTCAGAGCATTTGCTTGATAAACATAATGTTTCTTTGACATTCAAACCAGCATGCTCCCTTACTTGTTAGATGAGGATCGAAAGCGTAGTCGTGGTAATACTGCCTAGTAGAAAATGGCTAATTTTTTCAAAACTTTACTCCTCATAGTCTTGCCTTCAACTCGCCAGCCCTCAAACTTCATTTTTGTTTCTTCCCTTTCCCACAAACTCCTTAGTCACCAGGCTTACCATTTCGAAAGACTTATTCCGCGCCACCGGTCAATGCTCAGTTTCGGGTGCTCGACGTTAGCACGCGGGTGAACCTCCGTTGGAGCGTAGGATGTCACCCCGAATCCAGGCAACAATCATTTAAAGCTAGTAGCGGCTTCAGCCACGCTGATACCCTATAGTCAGCGCCAAACCCAACCAGCATCGTTGCACCGGAGCAGACAAAGTATGGCTTGCTACGCGCAATGACAGCGGACTGTCGAATTAGGAAGGCAAAGCCTGGGAAATCTATACGGCGGCCTAGTATCGCTTCGATTTCCCCTCGCCTTACAGCTCGCTGGGTGTCTGACTAGCCATCCAATTGCTGGCTGGGATTAGAATAGGACCGTAGTCAAGTATAAGCCGAGTCAGCCCCCAGGGGATAATATTGGGAATCAGGTAGCTCGTTATTCTCTATACACTCGACGGTATAGCCGAGACGGAACAGATCTTATGGAGAAAATCAATGGCGATTTCCTCTTCATATCATGTCCAAATAGTAAATGGGTGATTCTTATTGTCGGATGTACATTTCGATATAGTTCGGACCGAAAAACCAATATGATACTCTGCTGTGTGATTTTTTACCTATGATTTGGTTCAACGCATCTTTTATGCTGAAGATCAAAGTAAACCGAGTGTTATATACGTACAAGTTATTTATTTCATGACAGAAAACCTAATTTAGTTGCAAGTGTCGAAACAAGTAGATTTAATAAAACCTACCTATTATGTAATACAAATGTCATTAAGGTAGGTAAAGTCTGCATCATCATTCTACCTTCATTGGTATCTGACTCTAGATAAATCTTGTCGCCTATACCGCAGTCAAAAAGTGCGTAACTTTTACATGTAAATTATTTTTCACTTACTACAACATCAAAATCTGCTATTTCCATCCCCATTTTGCTAAAACCATCTGTAGACGAGCGTCAATTTCCAATCAGTTAGTAGAGCTTTCCAATAACTTCGGCTAGAAGTAGAATTGTTTTCTGTATTTGTTACAGTTAACATTCAAACGGGAAGATATCTAGCAGCTAGCCCATACCTGCTATATTTACAGCGTTTAAAATATTAGCTAGAAGTCGGTACTCATATGATATGCAATCCTTATATCACATTGTAGTTCTCCATATACCAGCCCTCAGGTTGTCCCTATTCGCAATTTATCCAGAGAAAGGGTGCGCTTTTCGGGTTTTAATTACAAGTCAGTCATTCTTCCCCTTGATCAAGAATAGGGTATGGGCAATGTCGGTGGTGTTCTAACAGGTCCGATGATAGCGCTTTCTATCTACTGAACAACGATCTAGTCCAAGTGGATTCTCCCTCGTCAGCTTTGCTCTTGCTGTATATTGAGCTAACCAGTTTGATTTGAGTGGCCACCCAGTTTTGGCTTTGGCGACAGCTCTTATCTATTTGCTAGTCTATTGGGGATCTTGGGAAGGACTAGGCAAGGAGAAGGGCATAGAGCAACCTCCTGCTAACTCAAATCAATCTCATCTGTTCTGGAGTAGAAATACAACGACGATATTGCAAATAGCACATGGCTGTTCCATTGACCAAATAGGACAAAACCAGGTGTTTATGTCGGTACGTTTGTAGGCGCGGATAAAGTAAATCGAATTTCTGTTTATACGTACCATAATTGTTACGTGTTTCTGCCTCGTTATAGGCGGACCGCGTTGCTAAATCGATAATTGAATTCGTTTAAAAGCTATTGGAGAAAAATTTAGCTATCCTAATTTATATATATATACGTATATTATTAAGGGGTATGTTACTACCTAGAATGACGCACAACACTCCAGATGCTAGAGGATCAGCTTTTGAGGAAAATTGTAACCAATATTGAACATTTTATTTCATCTATTTTTTACCCCCTTTTGGGTTTCTTCTGACGCCCTTCTGCTATTCTGTCGATGACGGTGAGCGCACTGTGACGTAACATCTCGTATAGTCCTTTTTTTTTGTTGCGAATTAGATTCGATCAACCAGGAGTAAAAAGAATACGATACTGTGTTTTGGCGGACCGCATCCTTAGTGCCAAAGCGTGCACTGTAGTTGGACAGTATTGTCAGGCCACAATTAGGAAACAGGCATTTCCCACCCCTTACCCATAAGTACACCCACACCTTACCAATAAGTACGTTATTATAGCCTGTCGCCACTGGAGCAGTTGGTAAAAATAATCGTAAGTTTATCAAAATTTCCAGCCTACACTGCGTGATCATACCCAAACGATCCCAGTTTCACGTCGTACCAATTTCTAGTATTATTCTTGTTGTTGCTTTTGACTAATAGCTTATATCTGGCTCACATATGAAGTTTTTCTTTTATATTGTACTTAGCGTTAATGGCTTAAACATATCGTTGGCTATAGGGATTATTCGGTAGTTGATGGAGTTCGCGATTTCAAAATTATATTGGAATAGACGCATCGGACCGTGGTAGTATCTAAAGCCCATTGTCTGGTTCGCCAAACTTAGCATCGCTCGTGTTCAGCTGGCAGCTCCTACTTGGCAAATGTCAATTGGGTATGCATTGTGGGCATCGCCGACGGGCAATGATGTCCACCGGCTGGGCAAACATTTTAGAGCTCGCCTGAGCAGTACTCATTCGGCTGGCATGACTGAAAGCAATTCTTAAGCGTGCTTTTTCGGTTGGATTTCAATAGAACTACTACACTCAGTATCACGGAAGGTTCCTGTGCTAAAATCGAGGATATTTGTCATGATGCCAGTGCAGTGGTTCACCGCATGTACAGCTTTTGATTACTTGTTGATATCTGACGGTCGCGTCTAATGAGAATGTCGTTACGTTAAGATATTCGAGGCGAACCGTGTCGTAGATAGATAGGGCTAAAAGGCTATTGTATATTGAAGAGCTAAACATCATGAGTGAGTTGCTCCGATCGGCAATCGCTTTTGTGCTGTGCTTATGGATGACTCCACTCTGGTGGGAGGACGGGCAGACGCGTAAGGTGCATCGTTGTTACCTCGCCCGAAAACTCAAAGAGATTGGATGGAACCGGTGGAATGTCAACAACTGTAAGCAATCGATCATGCTATACGTACTATATATACATATGTACTTGTTTATTCATTATATTGTCAGGATTTGAACTACTTTATCAGATGAATAGATGAATGTCATCATAGAAAAAAACACGTTTGTATGCACGTTGTTTGACTCTTTCGCCCAAAATACTTTGCCCTCACTTCTGTTATCATTAGAGTCTTCTATATAATTGTACAATTATTATTACTATATTATATTCTATATATATATATAAGGAGAACATGAGGACGGTCTATATAAAGGGAGCATGACCAGCAATGTGTCAACTGCTGTATAACAACCTTTCGATTATCCTAGGGCAGTAAGTGTCTTCGAATTAGTCTTTTACAGAAATTGCGCAAAAACGTCACAATGCATTAAAGCCAATAAATGGAACGGACAAATATAATTACGTAGCCTTATAAAGTGATCGATATGGGAAAATTTATAAGAAGCGTCAGGAGACCAATTCGAAGCATAACACTGTCTGGAAATGTTTCGTCTGCTATTGGCCAGTTCTGTGTGTCGCAGATTTTGTAAGCGGTATGGAGATGAATCTCTCTAAAGCGCGGTCCAGAGGCCAGCGGTGTGTAGGTATATTTCAAATACCAAGTAAATTCTACTGCTTCGATAAATTCGTACCGGGAATAAGAAACGGGAAGTGTCATGCGCTTTGCTCGTGTGAGTATAAACTTTCAGTATTTTTCAGAGCTCTCCACATACAAAAACACCAGCTATAAGAAGATTTTCTTTAGCGGTTTAAAGTTGTGTTGTGTTCTTTATACCGCCCTTACATTACATTTTAATTACCCTTACAAATTTAACAGTACACAACATTAAGCGAAATATTGAAAAAGCCAAATAATGTAGTATTTTTTATGACATTTTTTTTCTATTCTTGAAAAAAACATTTATTCAGCTGTAGTGCCGGTAGCGCCGACCGTGAAATTCTGATATTTTAATTTCACATCGAGTAATCACTTGAAATTTTCGACCTTTCACCTTGAGATATTAAACGCCCTTCCTTTGTATTCAACAATTTGGTTTCCCAACTGCAGGGCGTTGTCTAGTCATATTACGATATATTACAAATATTACCCTCTTTAGTACCAATGTATTAAAATCATAACATAATTAGGGAAAGCGTTAGCTTTTTTTCGGTTATTATATGCCGTAAATATAGTACTACTAGCTTGTTGCAGTCGATGCAGCTAGCACAGAATTAATTTTCTCAAATATAAATAATGTGAAATTCACGCAGAAATAACTAATAGTAGAGGAACTATACAATGAACAAAACAGGGGATTGAGGAAAGAGGTGTGAAGTATTTCGTATGTACAATAAAAGACAGTCTTCGTATATAGAACCCACCAGGGTTTATGATAGAAGCTACTTTGAAATATTTCTGCGTTTGTTTTGATCACAGGCAACGATGTAGCTTGTCTTGCAACAAAAGAATTTCGGAAGATCGAAACTGGGGAGCTTACTCTAGGGCAAAACCTTGATCCCATTTTGTATTAAAAAAGAAATAAACTATCGCTCAAAGAAAATATTTTTTTTTAAAGAGTAGGCATTTTTTTAAGATTAAAAATCACACATCAAAAGTATTGAAACATATATTTATATTATGTTGCAGCCTTTTTAGACGAGGATCTTGAGGATGACGTTATGTGCGCATCGTACATCCGCTGGCAATATGGATTTCAATTCTGGTAAACAGTATTCATCGATATAAAAGCAGATCTTGTTTAAGGTCTTTATCAAATATTGGTGTGTTAAAAAAAGATTTCCCGATCCTAGTTCGATCTATTTTCACCCTATATAGCCTATGAAATTACCATTTTTAAGGTAACGCTATTCACCGATCCGTGTGCGTCATCCGTAATGTTGTCAAAAGTGCAAAGGGTCTTGGCGTACGCCTAAAACGAACACAGCCCGTATGCACAGACACAATAGCTGAACGCAAAAATCACATTCATATCATCCTGCTTCCCAATGCTGTTTTTGCATAAAATAACTCGATCTTCTGGATCATTTTAGTTAACAACATACGTATATACATAATTGATCGATATAAATAACTGTAACTACTAATGATAACAAAGATAACTTCGAACCATTTTCGATATACTTCTAGAACTCATGGCACCAATGGTTCTTTCTGGACCTGCGATAATAGTTAAACTAAATATTTTTTTGTTTTTTTATTAATCGACAGGCATGGCTGGGAGCGCCACTGCCGTCAGAAGGCTCTTCATGGGCTTCTTGACGGCTGCGACGTGCAAATCAAGCCAGGTCAATGGCATTACTGGTAACGGACGAAGCTCTACATGAAGATTAGCCATCTTCACATCAATTTCATTCCAACCGGAAAGTAGTCCTGTTATAAATTGAACATTGAGATTCATCGTTATATGGACCAATCGTCAATTTAGAGCCGGCAAGTGTATAGGACCTGAGATAGAAACGACTTTGGGATTCATTCCAGAGACGATTCAATTGGAGATCTAGAAATTTCGCTGACAAACAGTAAATTCTATTTTTAATAGAGATAGACGATTTTTGAAACTTCAGCGATACATCATATTTTCAGTAAACTCATCCTTGGAATAGCATATCTACTCTGCGAAAAGCTTAACCCAATAGGTATTACGAAAGCATGTACTTAAATAGTCACCACCAATTTTCTTTTTAATTCTAGATAATAATTTAAATTCAATTTTTCTGAAAAAATCTCTAATAATTATATTACTGCAACTATTTTATAAGCACTGTGGTGCTGGCTGTTGCCAGGGGAATCCTTCAAATACAATATGTGTGTGTTCCACCCTTTGTCCATCATTCATCCTTCATTTACTAAAAACTGAAGGCTATTTATTCTAGCAAGCGTTTATATATATATATATATATATATATATATTTATATAAACGAAAGTAAATAAACCCTTCAAACAATTCTACGCGTTAGAAACTGGTGTTTTTTGTAGAGAAACTGTCTTCTGTATAATTTTACAAACTATATTTATCTGTTCTTTTCATAATTTGTCGAGACTCTATAGTAATACACATCGCTGACGCACACATGGTCCAAACGAAGATATGACTCCACATCTATAATTAGGCCATCGCTAGGCCACCCACTGGCTCGTGGCGGGACGGCGTTGGCTCACTGCTGTACTGCAGTCAGCAGCCCCGGCAGAAGCAAAGAAGCGACCAACGAGCAAAGAAATGTGGGCTGGGCGCTCGCGCGCTGTAAACACAGGCCCAAAACCATTGACTTCTTGGCACTGAGCTGGCGTTCCATCATGTCAGCAGCAGCCTTCGGGGGAAGGTGGTACCCGAGTCCACCCATCGCTAAAGGGAAGGCATCCACTCCACTGTTCCCCCACATGCCTCTCTGCTCCTCTACCCCAACTTCGCTCTCTTTCCACGAGTGTTTCCCGTGCTGCTGCTGCTGCTGGTGCAGTGGCTGCAGCAAAAGCGGCAGTAGCCGCTTACCGACTTTTTTCGAGCTACACTCTTTCAACGAACCTTACGACTAGGCTATGCTCATTCGCTGCTTAGCCCACCTTCTTCCTACATCTCCAGCTCTTTCCATCCCTCTCACTCTCTCTCTGTTAATGCTGTTCCTAAAGCCCCTCTAGCCTGGCAGTCAGCATACCAGCGAGCCATGCCACCTCCAGCTCTGCGACGCTGGCCCCCAGTTCTGCGCCAGCTGTTCTCTTAGATGGCAAGGAGCAAAGAGAGAAAATACTCAGACGGAGCGTTTGCTTGGCGAGCGAACGAACGAAGCTCGTCGGCAATACTGCTACCACCACTGCGGCTGGGCCTCGCTAGTGAGAAGGTGAAATTTGTATTTGACACAGTGTGGCCATTGCTCTCTGATTGCTGATCGAGGCGGCACTGATACTGACTGTGGAGTGTTGGTAAAAGCTGCCCTGACAGCAGCGGTGATGCTGGCGTTGGCAATGGCGACCGTCATAGCAGTCTTCATAGCGATCATCGTACAGTTCTGTTCACGATGCTCCATATTTTGCCTTGCTAGCAAATAAGCAAATCGCTAATCGCTTCGTTGTTGAAGTCACCAGTCTCCGTGGTCAGAACGCTGCAGTCCTGTGAATCTCGCCGTTGTCTGTGCACACGTTGAAGTAGCCGGCCCCGTATATTGTTGCTTGATACAGAATGATGATAATGTTGCTGCTGCTGTCAAGTAGGAGACGGTGGGACCGTATAGAAACTTGTCGACAACGGCAACAACCTCAGCAAAGCGAGAGAAAGTTTTACGAAGCAAGTTGTTGAAGGAGTCGGCGGATGCGAGAGTCCTCGCCGCTTTAGCATAGAATGTGGGGTATCGATAACAGGCACTCATCACCTCCAGTATCCATCCAGTAGGCTACACATACCAAAGGCGTTCTGGTAATACATGAAGAATAAGCAGCAAGAGTTAGAGACGCAGGAAAAAAACTGCGATGAGACACAAGGAGCTGGCCGAACGCGGCTTGGGTACTATCGGTTTTTCAAAGCACTGACATCCAGTAGTTGTTGCAGGACAAGGGAATAATCTTTCAGCTGATTCAATTTTTTGCCGACAATTGTAGCTGGTTGGCAGCGTAGAATGGTATGATAACGGACCCAAGAAAGAGCTGCTCATACTTCACTGAAGCAAAATGTTCGACGTTATCTGTCATTGATCAAGGACAGAGATTGGGTATTTACTTGACTTCCGATTTGGCCCGCTAAATTTGAACATGATGATTTAATCTATTACTAGCGAATATGCATCACTCGTAATTTCTGTGTTTTTCCTCTAGGTCGATGTACAGTTAGACTTTCCAATTCAGATCATTGATTTAGAGCTAAACTCTTAAACTCTACTATCAATCCCAAACGAGCCAACAAATATATACTAGTTATTTTCCCTGCAATGTTGTGTGAGTGAGCTTTCATTCAGTTATCTCCTTGCTGTCCGTCCTGTTCGAACGTTATATGAATGGCACGTTGCCATCAGAATGAAACGAATGGGCAGTAAGAAGTAATACTAGGTTTAGTAGCATACCTTCCATTGTTTTTTCTGCATCTACGGCTTTAATTACTATCAGTTTTTGGTCCTATTTTGAGTAAACGCTCTTGATGACCGTGTATCTTCTATGTACCGTTCGTAGAAGTCGACAGAGAAACAATTTATAGAAGTTGAACATGGCAGATTTTTTTTCCTATTTAATAGTTATTCTGTTATCAAACTAAAGCACATCGTGTAGCTTTCGATAAAGGATGAACTAGATTAGGCGTAAGTTACAGATGCAGTATATTTACTCGCGTTCTTTACAGTTATCTCAATTACTACTACTCTATAGAGAATATGCATGTAAATCTTTATAAAAAAAAAAAAGAATTGTTTGCGGGGACTTTCTGAAAGCACATCATTTTGAATACTTATTTCGTTGTGTCCATTGCTCAGAAATGGTACACTGCGGTATATATGTACGCTTTCGAGCGTCTATCCGCACTACTGGAATATTATCACAATCATCTTCGACAAACCGGAACGATTTTTCGTTTCATTTTAGGGTTCTGAAGATTTTTGTCTACACTTACGCTAACATCCTACTCGGCATCTGTTTGCAAAGCATGTAGTGGGGGCAGTCTAACGGGAGGCCTCGATAGGAATGCTCGCCTAGGAAAGCCGGTCGTGGCCTCTCTCACCGCCAAACTTAGCTGAGGGAGGAATTCGTAATTGTTTAGCCTCCCCGTTCGTCGCAGTGAGGGTTCTTGTGGCCAAGAGTCATGACAATGGGTGGCAACGAATGTAGTCGCTAGCTCTTAGCTACTTTCTTACCATTTGGCGACATATCGCTATCTTGGTACAGAGAAAAAAAAATGAAATAGTTCGCATAGTTGGATATTCGTAGAAAGTATTCAATGAAGGACCACATTCCTCGGGGCGTCCTATATAGCCATTGGTAAAAGTGTATAGAGTCACAGCACTGCTATATTCAAAAGGATACTCATTCTATGCTCCAGTTAAATAAAAACTCCTGATATACTTGCCAAATAAATGCAGATTATTATCACCGTTCAAATATCTGAGCTCTAAACAACTGGCTGGTATAAAACGTGCATTCTTTGATGCTTGCCTTTTCCTGCCTCGAGAATAAAGGTATCATTTGAGAATCCTCTGCCAGACGAGAAATCTTCCATAAATTAATTCTCATATATCTACAGGCCCTTCTATTACTTTATGCAACTCATTTCCTTGTATTGTTTTTATTGATTGAGGTAGCGTATAGTCGAGACATTTGAGGTACAAGACTGGCAAATGTGGTGAAATAACAACAGATAGAAATACGAGCAAACTCGTAACACCCCAACTCAGTGTCCCTAAACAATTGAAGTCCTATATAATATATCAAATAGGTGGCTAAAATCTAATCATGTTCCCCCTATCTGCCAGAACAGATATGTGTCACACATCCGGTGAGCACGCGACGGTTTACAGGCATAATCACCTATGATATATATATATTGCCCACTTACCAACGTATGTCTCAATAGCGCCATTATTACAGTTTAGTTTTATGTACTGTCAGCCAGGCAGCAGTTACTGTTTTACACTTGTGTAGCATTTCATTCTAAATAATCCGTACTATAGTTGTCAGAAGTGTGTGGTGAGTCTGTGTGAGCCTTCCAGGTTTCGCGTTCCTACCACCGTCATTACCTTCTATGGCTCGCCGCACTAGGGCATCGAATTTCTTGCCAACCGACACCCCATTGCTTTCCCTGATAACAAACGCAGTTCCCGAGGTGTCCTGTGACACCTTAGAAACCACTCCCTATAGCTGAGTTACGGTTGCACCGGTCACCTCCCAACCAGAAAAATATTTATCTTTTTGTGGAACCTAGGAGCTCTTGAGCAAAAGACTGCCAAAAGTGTTTGACATTTTATGCTGCCTCTACCTACAAAGTGTGCAGGTCTACGGTTACGCTTTGACTTGAGCCGGCTTTAAAACAGTGAACTGGGTAAGATGACATAAATACGAGCTATTTAGCTATACAATTTAACATAGAAAACCGACATTGGCTGATAAGCTTTGACGAATTTTGACCTAAACGCCATTGACGTAGTGGAAACTGAAAACATATAGCGTAATCCTTTATAACATCCAATTATACGGGGCGTCCATTTTTTCTTTCCCATGTGTTTGTTCATTTCATGCGCTTGAAAATGGAATTCAACGTACTGGTTGCCTCTACAAGCATAGTCTAATAATGCTTTCCAGATGGGACGACCTTTTATCTAGAATATATCAATGCTGTTAATGGATAATATTGGTGCCTTTTACGCCACTAAATGAATCTTGGCTCGAGGCTATTACATGGCTAATCAAGCACCTCTTCTTCTATAGCTTAAAGCCAAATTTCGCAACCGATCCTTTCTCCCTGCTCTGTTCTGCGCTCCGAGGAACCATACCGCAATATCATATGGCTAACAATCTTGAACAAGAATACTGTCTCTATACATGTGTGTGTGTATATCTGTAGCAATACAGCACGTGGCCACTTCCGACCACCACCGGCGTCACGCATCCCGCTTCAATGCCTTCCTCCGGTACGAAAAGCCCGGAGCGGAACTAGTACCCACTTCCGCTTAAGCTAGGCTGAAGTTCTTTTCATATCAGCAAGGTAAGCGGACTGCTTCCTTTACATACCGTTAACGTAGCAGAGGCTGGCAGGAAAACAGAAGCTGATAAGGCTGTTTACACCCATTGGACTCACCCCTCAAAGAGCGGAACGGCGACATTGCTGCCTAGAAGATAATGGGACGAGGCTGCTTTGGGGGCAAGGCGGAAATAAATGCAAGTTAAGTCAATCTCTGGCCGTTTGCGGTACAGAATGCTCGGAATCAGTTGAAAAGGGAGGACTGTTAACAGCGGACA